GTTGGAGATGTGATATACCAATAGACCAATTTACTCTTTTTCTTGGGACATTTTCTCTGGATGATCCATCCTTTTTCTTCAGATGTCTCATTTGTCCCGTTGTCATGAGTTCCTTAGTTGGATGCCTTCATTTTCTTGAAAAGACAAAAATAAAACCCTGTCCCAACCCTAATTTGGGAGAACTTCCTTTTTGGCAAGTTATATCTGATCAAATGAAAAGCATTTGTCAGTCTATAAGTTAGTTTAGATTGAATGGTCATGCTGTTTCTTGAGCTATCACCTTTTCTAATCAAGAGATCTCTCTTGTTTGAATCTAATCTTTATAATATTTAATTTATGGTTTCTCCTGAAATTTTTGTTTTATCTTCTAAGGCTGTTCTATTATCCAGAGCAGTATGGTTTTTGGTTTTGTTATGTTTTTGGGTTTTTTGTTTTTGTTTTGTTTTGTTTTTTACAGTGGAGGCATTAAGTCCTTTAATTGCTCTGGGGAGGAGTTTCCCCCATGGTGACAGAGAATGATTCAACCAAATTTGATATGGGAGTATGCAAAAGTCTCTCCCCCCCCCCCCAAGGCATTTCCCATTGGCAAAGGGTTACCTTGTCATTCCCTTGTTGATCTACATTCATTGGTCAGATGTTGTCCTTTGCTGCACCTTCTGCATACTCTAGGAGGCAGGAGTCTTCTCTTGGTATTATTACTAGAAAATACATGTTTCTAGGAACACCCTGCCTACCCTTTTTAGGTGACTCTGTTTACTGCAATTGAAACATCTGACATTTTGGGTTTTTTTTCAAGTCATTGGAAATCACCTCTCTTATCCAAGCATGATCATGGTTATGAGATTCAGTATTGACTATCTTGAATCTATTATTCTATGGGTGCTGACCTTGCCTTTAAAGGCCCAATTATCCTTTTGTATCATGAATTAGCATTTTCAAAATCCAAAGATTCACTTATAGTTTGTGTTGCTTCTGAATTTGGTATCATTCTATTTACAGTTGAAGTCAGTCTTTGTAAGAAATCAGTGAAGGTTTCTTTTGGGCCCTGTGTAACTTTATTAAATGTCTCAGTTCTCTTCTGACTTCTTCAGTTCTGTTCCAAGCATTCAAAGCTGCCAAACGGCGTAGAGTCAAGGTGTGTTCATCATATATAAACTGTCTTTGTACATCAGTGTAACCACCCTCTCCAAGGAGTTGGGCGTGGGAAATTTCTAACCCTACTCTTGGTTCAGTAGTCTTAGCCTCGCCAGTACCTCCACTGTAATTGAGGACCAGATTCCAGTACTGTTCTAATCAAGTCTCTCCAGTCTTGTGGTAGAATTCTGTTACTAGTTGACCATGAATTTAACATCTACTTCACAAAAGGTGAATGCATACCATATGAGATTATCACTTCATTAAGTCTCTTCAAATCTAAAATTTCCATGGGAATCCATTGAGCTTTTAAACAGTCTTGGAGATGTCTGTCGTTTGGCAGTTGGTCCTGTATGGTGACTAGATAAATTAATGTTGGCTTTTTGATAACCTTGGAGTGTTCCCCTCTAATTTTATAATATAATGGTAAGGTTGGGTCTCCCCTAAATTCCTCTATGTTTGTCTGAATATCTCTATTTTCTATTTTTTAAGTTTTGTAAGTTTTCTAAGGCTTGTAGCTTATCAGTCAGAATTGATTATTTAGTAATCTTTTTCTAAGGTCTGTATCTTGGCACTCATGTCAACCAACTTTTTTAGGGATAAAACAGTTACCAAACCAATAATGTTTATAACTGATATTATATAAATCTTAGCTAAGTTAATTATTGCCTCATTTGAATGTTCCATTTTATAAACCACCCATTGTGGAAGGGTTTATATACAGAGACCTAAACTTCCTCTATCATAATAGTGTTTCCCATCTTTTAATGTAGGAAAAAAAACTCTATCTCTATATCTCTCTTAAAATTAATTTTGCCCCTTTAAGAATTCCAAGGTGTCTCACCAAACAGCTGATAATGACACGTATAAGGCTGACTGTCGCATGTCTAGGCAGGGAACACAGGTGTTACACAGCCTGGCTGAGGACAGCTGCCACTGATAATATGTCAGCATCCTGAGGAAAGGGTTCAGGGAAAGCCTACAACCCATGGGAAAGGAGCCAAAGAGTCAGCCATCCGAAAGGTAGGGAGGAACATGGGAAAGCAGCATGTGTGACCAGCAGGAAATGAAAGCACAGAGCTGCCTGAAGGAAGAGCTGGCTGGTGTCAAGGGACTAACTCTGGTGGCGTTTGGGGATTCTGGAGATTGCTGTAGAGAGGCTGCAACAGGAAAATCCCAGACTCACTCAGAGGACTTGGGGGAAAAGAGGAACAGCTAGCCAGCAGCACAGTGACTCCAGCAGGTGCAGCTCAGGCGGATACTGGTGGCTGCAAAGCCTTGGGCAAGTGACTATTTTGTGAATTGTTGCCCCAAACGTTGGGCACCAGATGAAACTTTAATTAATCTTTATCAGTAAAAAAATTGGGAGTTAAATTTTGGGGTAAGAACCTGAAAGATCAGAGAACAGGTAGCGGTCAAGTCTTGTTGACTGGTCCACTTTGTGAGTCTTTTCTAGTTCATGTGGTGATCTGATGAATTGTTGCTTTTGTTTCTACCCTATAGGAATTCTGACTAGGCCCTGTGGACTACAAGGTAGTGTCAGGGTCTTAGAAAAAACAATCAGGTGATTGTTGCTGACTATGTGGGACCAGACACCTGTCACTACACTTGTTTGTACTCTTCGCTCTTACCTCAGTAGCACTGGGGCAGTTGGATAACATAATCTCTCCTCTACCCTTCTAGCTTCTGAGCTTTCTGCCTATGTTCTGACTTTTGCAAAGAGTGGAATTAGAATTCCTCATGATTCATAGATTTGTATGAGAAGAGAACAGAGCAGTGGTTCTGCAAGGGCAGAGGTAGGCACATTCTGTAAAACTTCTTCAGGAGAATTCCATCTCCACAAGTAATGTATATTTACATTATTTTAGTTGTGACTTTTTTTTCTTTTAACTCAGAAAGAAACATTTTCTAACTTTAGGAAACATTTTATTAATGGCCTGTCATAGCTGGTCACACTATTCTGTTACTCTGAGGGTGAATGAACCCACTTGTGCCTTTCTGATGGTGCCTTTTGCAACTGACATGGTCCCTCTCCTGGATGCTTTTGTAAACCCTGTGGCATTATGGTGGCCAAGCTTCACAGGTGCCATGTTTGACTAGGCCTAGAGATTGGTGGCACAGTCTGCTGGAGACTCCAGGTGAGAAGAGAATGCTTCCCTGAGCTTCAGTTGTCTGCCTCCTCCTGTTCGAAACTCACTGGAGCAGCAGGAGTCTTGGTCATGCTATGAACTTGTGGGTTTTTAATTAACATATTTTGTTTACTGCTATGCTTGTTGCATGCTGGAGGGAGGAGCCTAGAGGTTAGTTGAGTTTTGGAGGCTTGATCTGAGAAAGCTGATAGCTCACTCTGTAGTTGAGGTGATCTGAGACTCCATAGGCAGGTAATACTGAAGTGAGCCAAATTCTCTAAGATACTGAGGACCTGAGAAGTTTTCATTTGTGTTTTCCTCTGTGGCTATATAGGCTGCTAATCTGGGTCTCATTTTAAACTGGTTAAATAGTAAACTTACTAAGGTAAGTACCACAGCTTTTTGCTGTGGTGTTTGAGAGCTGAGAGTGTGTGATCAATATTTATTAACATTCTGCCACCACATCTTGCACCAGTGACCTGGCTGTCAGTTTCTCAGAGCTGTGATATAGAGAGTGAACTCATTAATTAGATTTATCTGCCCTGTTCCATACTGTACTCTTGTGCCTTAAAGCTGGACTTCCCTGAAGGCACATGTATTCTTGGCTGCCATCAGGCACGCTGCCACTGTGTTAAAAGTTGCAATATATCATTTTTTTTCCACTCCAGGAATTAAAATCATCCTTTTGGGATTTTGTTTTCCCTCTAAAGTGTGCCATGCCTATTGTGTGATCATGTCAGAAGTGTCTTCCTGTGTGTCTAGGGGCTGTGGGATGCAGGTGACAGCCTGGCTTCCAGGCTTGGTCGCCATTCTGTCTTGAAAAATTGACTCTCTTGAATAGATGCAAAAGGGGTGGGGGGATGTCACTGTATTTCAGGTAGTTTTTTGTTTTTGTTTTTGTTTTTTTTTTTGAAAAGGTTTTGCCTTGATCCTATGGATCCTGTGAGGTTAGCGAAACACTTATTTTAGAGATTATCTTTGGTTAATTAAGCATTGCCATTTTGGAAATACAGAGAGAAGTCTATAGTGGAAATTACCCTTTCTTCCTACAAATGAGTCATTGATATGTTTTGGAAGATTTCATTTCAGTCTTTTTTGGTTTTTCAAGACGGGGTTTTTCTGTAGCTTTGGAGCCTGTCCTGGAACTAGCTCTTGTAGACCAGGCTGGCCTCGAACTCACAGAGATCCGCCTGCCTCTGCCTCCTGAGTGCTGGGAGTAAAGGTGTGTACCGCCACCACCCAGCAAAAAAAGTTAATGAAATTTAAGGTTTAGTTACATATTTGTATATCCTGGTTGTTGGAGTGATTTTTGTGTAACTATGTCATGGTTGTTTACCCTTATCATCAACCACTTTAAAATACTAATTTTTTGTGATTTGATAACATGTTATTATCATAGATGATTTTGGATGTCACTGATGTTTTCTTACTAGAAAGATAGCAAGACAGGGTCTGAACTCCAGTTGCCATGTGAACACCCCATGGCAGTTCCCTGGAAAACCCACCAAACATAACAAAACTAGGAAAAAGTGTGTGTGTCCTATGGCATCTGACTTTTATGCAACTACTTTTATTTTTTCACATAAATAAAGAGTATTGCATATGTACATTAAGAAATAAGAAAGGAAATAAGTCAGTATTGAGGTGTCTTAGGTGCCTTTCTATCAGTTCAGCCAGTATAGCCCTGCTGTGGTTGAGCTCTCATAGGCTCATCTGACTGTCTCCTTGGTTTTGTAGATTGTTTGCTGCATGAGGAGAACTTCTCGGTGAGATGCCCCAAGCACAAGGTGAGTCATAGACCTCTGCACTCTTAAGTGAGACTGGCTGTGTAGCTGGAGAATAAGGGTAGTTCCCCTTGAAAGACTTAAAGTCCTAAGCATTGAAAGGCTTGGCCCATGCCTGTCCAACCAACATATACCTCTAGCTGAAGCTCTCTCCTAGTCTTTGAAAGTTAGGGGGTGCACAAAGCTAAAAGATATAAGAATCCCTGGGGCATGGGACCAACACCCTTTATGGTAAGATGGGAAGAGGTATGGTGTTTTGAGGGGGGTGTCTGTCTGTTTAATATAAGAAATTAGAAGATCAGACTCAGTGAAACTATTGCTGCTTCCTACTTGAGTTTACTAGAACTCCACCCAGTTCATGTATCAATTCTTAGTGAGTCGATGCAGGGCCTGGTATAGAAACATATCTTTGGTAGGAAATAAGAGTCAACTCCAGAGCTTGGGGAAGCTCTCATTCTCTCCCAAGTAGTACAGCAGAAGCAACCCAACAATGTATAGGGATGGCTTACCACTGACACATTTCCCAGTGTGTTTAAGTGGTGCTTTCATGGTCATTCCCTTTAGGAAGGGTGGAAAGATGAGTGTAACTCATTTTTTGAGATGCCACAGAAGGCCAGATGGGGTGAAGGAGGAGGGTCAGGGTAGAGAGCTCTGCTGCCCATGTTTCCTGCACTTCACCTGTCTAGCTGAGGTTACACTGACATCTGGTGGTCATTGACCATTCAGTCCTCAAAAAGGATCAGGAAAAAAAAAAAAAAAACAACGAAGGAGTCATCTGTAGAAAATTGCCCTCAGAATGCACCTGGCAGACTCTTATGTTTCCTTCTAAGAATGCTTTCAAAGGGGATCTCAGGATCAGACAACATTCTCTCTATTTTTACCTGTGATCACATTTTGCCTCAGAAAGCCCCATCTGGGTGTCTCCTGTTTGTCATTCAGTACTGACTCTGTTTTTATTTCCTTTTCCATGTGCCATTCCTTTCCTTACCGCTACCCTCCCTGGTTCCGACTCTGTATTTTCTGTTCTGTCCTTTGTCTTGTCTCCCCTTGGCTTTGGCCGGTGTCAGCCTCCCCTTCCGTGCCCTCTCCTCCCCTTGCAGAACAAGACCGCGAAAGGCAGCCTCAGCACAGAGCAGTCGGAGCGGGGGTGAGGGGGGCAATGTGCACGTGGGAATGGACAGCAAGCACAGGTGAGTTGGGGCCTGCTGGGCTCCCACCACCTCCTCACCAAGCTCCATGTGTGTCCAAGCCTCCGGCCTCAGACTGTCATGTGGATTTTTAACAATGTCAAGGGATTAAACTGATTGTAGTGAGTGGCTGCAGTTCAGAAGATATGGGCCCTGGAAGCTTGGTTTACCCTTCCTGCCCTGCTCTGTCACCGAGAGATGAAAAAAAGTAGGGTGTAAAAAGAACAGAATCACTGTGACGTGGGCTTTGCACAGTGGGCTGAGAGACTAGCTGTATTGAGGTATCATTCTCTAAATGGGGGGGATCTTCTTTTCCCACAGACACAGCAGGCATATTCTCTGTGGAGTGTGCCCTCTTCCTGGATACAACTGGGAGGTTTTTCCATTTCTGGAAAAATCAATGTTAATTTGAAGAACAATTGAATCAATCTAAGAGTATGTGGTTTTCCTCCTCCAAGAAAATGTTTAGTTGGTACTTCAGGCGCTAACTTGAAAGAAGGCTGTTTGCATTCTACTGTGAGATAGGTCTGGATGCAGATGTGGGTTCCCCACGACTCACTGGTGGGGATGGTGAGTGCATTGCTATTGTGCTTTTTCTTTATGCCTTCCTCTTGCAGGGAGTAGGGTTAGCAATGCCTGGAGCAGAGCACAGTGTGAAAGACAAACCGGAACCACTTTATTTGTTCTTGGGGCATAAGACCCAAACATAAGAAGACTGTGGACTTACAAGACATTGTCAGCTCTGCACTTATAGAAGCTGTTGGGCTTTACAGGCTGTGCGTAATCCTTCTGGTACAGTGTTGTGGCCCTCAGGACAAAGTGGTGGGGAGATAACGCATATGGGTTTTGGAGAACTGTATTGGCCTTCAGTGGAACTTACGCACTTGATTGCCACTGTGCCTAAATAGGCTCTGCAGTCTCTGTAAGAGTCTCTATATTGACCCTGATGGTCGGAGTCGAACTCTAAGGGGACCATGAGCTAGATCCCTGAAGTAAATGTGTGTTAGAAGGCTTGGGTGAAGTAAAAATGAGTTCATTTGGAACTTGATTTTAACCTGAATTCTAGCCTGAGTTTTAGAAAATTTGGGCCTTGGGAAACCATCTCTTGGGGACCTTGGTTATCATCCCTACTCATTTTTAGATGTTTCCGGCTCTAGACTGGAAGCAGAATGGACTTTGAACAGAAAGACTGAGCAGTTTTAACTCCATCCTTCGTGGGCTGGTATCTGGCTATAATAGACCTGACCTTCATGTAGGGATGGGCTTCAAGTCTGTTGGGGTTTGCAGCAGTCACCTATTGAGTAAAAGAGCAGACCCTGTGTTCAGTCATAATATCTGAAATATTCTTTGCAAACACATCATACAATAAAAAAAAAAACTTTTCTAGGCTTATCTGTTCAGTTGTTACATTGAGGTCAGTCATTGCTCTTCAAAGGCCAATCAGTTATTGAAGCCTCAGTGGTGAGGGACAAAAACAAACCACTGTCCTCAAGGAATACTCATGCTCAGGATAGAGAGTCACCATTAAGTCACACAAAGCAGAGATGGGACAGTGAGTGTGCATGTGTTCTGACCTACTGGTAGCCCATTTCTTCACACAGAATGTTGTGAAAGGGGCTTTGTGACTGAGGTTAAAGCTACTTAGTATCTCTATGCTTCTGTTTCCTATGTAAAAGAAATAACAGTGATGAACTCAGGAGGATTTGACAAGGCTTGGCAAATACAGAGCACACTGGCCACTGCATGCTACCTAGTTGTGTGTTTCTGAGAGCTAAAACTGTCTTTCTAGTAGAAAATACCCAGTGCTAGGGACTAGAAGATGTTGCTTCAACATGTGGGGTTTGTGCACCTGTCCTCACCAGGCTAAGAATGTAAGAGAGGTAAAGACTTTGGATACTTGCCCAGTAGGCCATGTCCCATCCATTTCTGAGGATGATAAAGCATCTTATCATGGTAGGCCTGTGGTGTTGAGATAGTAACTTCACCAGGCAGTGACGATGCCCACCTTTTATCCCAGCACTTGGGAGGGAGAGACAGGCGGATCTCTTTGAGTTTGAGGCCAGCCTGATCTACAGAGTTAGTTCCAGGACTGGCTCCAAAGCTACAGAGAAACCTATCTTGAAAAACAGAGCTAGTTATAGGACAGCTAAGGGTCCTATACGAAAAGAAACCCTTTCTGGAATCAAAGAAAGAGTGTTACTCTTTGGGTTCATTGCAGGTTTAGACAGTCTTTTGACAGAAGGACTCCTGAATGTGGCTTCTCTGCTGGGCCCTGAGATGTAGTAGACAGAGAACAGAAACCATCATTTGAAGTGATGGTCTGTCCTGGGTACTAGGAATGCCACCTACCCATGTGCCCTGCACAAAAGAGCCATGGAAAGAAAGGGGTGGCATCCTGCCCTGCTCTGTCACCAAGAGATGAAAAAAGCATGCAGCTCATCCACAGATGAATGAGTGCCACCTCAATCCTAGCTTCTTCTAGGGAAGTGCTGCTGGGGTTATCCCTCCAAAAGGAAACCCTTAGTCTATCACATTTCCCCGATTCCATAAATCAGTACTGAGTCAGAATTTGATTCCTCTTTAGGTAGGGATCACATGTACTTCAGAGAAGAGTCTGCCTCTGAATCCTGGCATAGCTGAGCTGAGTGATGCCTGCCGCAGTTGGCAGTCAAGCTTAGAGTTTGGTGGAGAAGGATACAAAGAAAGCCCTCTCAGGTTCAGGCCACAGTGAGGAGTCCAAAGAGAATTCTCTGTTCTCCTTGCTGAACATCAGATGCTTATTGTTTTGTGGTTGTAGAGTAGAACCCAAGTCCCACGTAAGGGTTCTGCTACTGAGTTAGTCTTATTACATTTCCATTCTTAGTGATAATCATTTTGGTTTTTCAAGATCCCCTTCCCTTATTCTTCCAACTGCTGTTGTTATGGACAGTAGCCACATGCCCAGTAAAATGTAAAGAGAATACTTACCGTCTTCAGGTTGGAATGACAGAAAACTCACAGGAAATCTAATTACCTTTTCTCAGCCATGTCTCATACAATGAAACACAGTTCCTAGAACCTAGTTAGCAAAGGACTGGGTAACTATACACCCAAATCCTGCATTGAACTAACCAAATGCTTTGGGCTGCAAGTGTCACCTCCCTGAACTTGAGCTTCCTCATCTTGAAGATGGATTCAAGCTACCTTAGTGCCATGGTAAAACACCTGTATTCCCAGAGCTGGAGTCTCAGGTTGTACTATATTATACTGCAAAGTGCCTTCCACCTTACTGGACTTTTTGTAAAGGGCAGGTATGTGCATGTGTGCTTATGAATGGTACATTCTTAGGTCCTTTACACAATCCAGCCTTCTTAGCTGTTGCTTATTGGTAAGCTTTGTGGAGGCAGGACTTGGGTTCTACTCTGAAGTTTATCTATTGGTGGCGGGAACAGGAGAGACTTCAGAAAGAGATGAAGAGGAATCTTTTTTCTTGATCCCTTCCATGCAAGGCCCATTAGCTTAAATCACTGCTCTTTCCCCATGTTTGGTCCAAAGCCTCATGATAGTGCTAGCATTGATCTTGGATGTGTTCAAAACCAGCCGCCGTCTACAGAAAGGTATGAGTGTAAGATACCTTTGAAACTCATCTCCTCCCATTGCTACCACAGCTGTGCTGAGACCATATAGACCTTCACAGCACCCACTGTCTCCTGCTTGTTTTCCAGGTGAGACTGTGGAGATGAGAAGGTGGTGGACACACATGATGGAATGGAATCCTTCTGCTGTGCAACCACACCCCACCTTGCCCTGCCCTGCACCCCCATTGCGCCTGCCCATGCCAGCACTTCCTTCCTATGTTCTCACATCACACTCAAACTGGTGACACCACAGGAAAGAAAGACACAAGATGTTGGAATGGCTGTTTCCATGGACACAATCTCCATAGTGACAATATGGGGGAGGGGGGAGGGGGGCTGATGGGGAAGGGGGGGTTAAAAGGGAGGGATAAAAATATATATATATAAATCTATTTTTAGTCTGGAAAGACTTTGTTTAAATGAAAGGTGCGCTATCCCTTTTGATTCTATTTTAAAATTATCTAGTTAACTCAATTTGTTCCAGTGACAATGAAATTTAAATGTGAAATTGAATTGAACAAACTCATCTCATAAAGAATGAGGTGTGGCTTTGATCTTTAGCCTGTCTCACAACAATTCAGTGAACACTAGACCAGGACTGAAGGAGCAGACAAATGATACCACCTTTCCTCTGGTCAGCCCGTCTCACAGGGGAGGTTTGTGGGGAGGGCAGAATGGGGATGGTCATTTTCAAAAGTGGGGGAATGATGTTTAAACTCAAAAATAAATTTTTTTCCTTTCCAGAAACACTATTTATTTATTTTTAATTTTTTTTTTCTTTTTGGGGGTGGTGGTGGTGGAATTGGTAGATGCCCCAAGGTCATGTCTGTGTCCTGGATCACTGTGGCTCCACCAAGTAGGTAAAGTGGCCCCACAGCAACAGATATACTAAGGAATGGCTTCCCTCTGGCGCCCTCTTTCCTTAACACATTCCGTGTAGCTAGGACCCATAGGGACCCACAGGATCCATGGAACCCATGGAGGCCCAGGCCTCTGCTGCTGAAATAGGCCAGGTCTGGGAGAGAACAGCGTGTGAACCATTTGGGTGGGTAAAGCTGGCCAGAACCACCCACCCTAAGACTTTATTGCTTTCATTTTTATGATGGAAAAGGGGGCTTGTTAGATGTGTGGCCCCATGCTACGTGAATCTTTATGTTGTATTGTTTTGTTTTGTAAATTGTATAATTTTTAAATATATGAGTTTTAAAAAAAGAAAAAAGTACAAAAAAAAATCTTGTTAAGGCCTTAAGAAGGGATATGTGCATCTTTCAGGGGTCACTCTGCCGTGGGGATAAAATAGCTGTTTTACAAACAGTTTTATTTAAAAAAACAAAAATCGAAAAAAAATCAAAAAAAATCAAAAACATAATAAACTTCATTTTAACCTTGTGTCCTTTTCATTTACTTTAAGTGAATGTGTCTCTTCCTTCTTCAGGATCAGCCTCCCAAAGGGGACGTTGGCTGAAACCAGACCCAGGGTTCTTTTCTGCCCCATGGGACAATTCTGACTTTTTGAAGTTGACATGAGGATATATTCCTAATCAGCATTAATTTTAAGGATTGTAAATGTATAATTCAATGTTAATGGACTTTTTTTTTTAAAGAGAACAGAAGAAATATTGGAAATAGTGTTTTGAGTTGGAAGTAAGTAATTATAAATGAGTTCTAGTGTGTTCATCAATTCAGGGCCGCAGAAATGGCAGGTTAATTTGCTTTAATGACTGTACCGAGCAGTGTGGTCCATTTCTCACCTCACCTGCCTGGATGGTGGTATGGATGCGAGTGGTGTGCTGTGTCAGCCATGGGACCCTGCTCAGGCAGCTGCACAAGACCTGAATAGAAATGATAAACACAGCTAAAATGCAATTGATAGATTTCAGGTGTCAAGGACTAAGTCATAAAACTTGAAAAATACGTATCTTGAGGAAAATACTCTCCTGACAGCAGATGTTTGTCACTTTGCCTTTTGTTCCTTTGTTTGCCTTTCCATTTGCTGATCATACCAGAGCATGGCTTCAGTCATGATTGTCTATGTCTTTTCTTAAACTGGATTCAGAAAGAGTCTGATGTGGGCAGTGGCCCTGTTAGGCTCCTCTTGATGACAGTTTTCTGATGTCTGCAGTACCCTAGCTGAGTGTGCCTTTCAGCTCCTGCAGTTTTTAAGGTCAGTGCATGTGTGTTGTAATAGATTTTTTAAAAGCAGCTTTTGGTTCACTGATGGAAGATGAGCTCCCATGTACCTGCATCCTCCAGTCATGTGCAGCCTATCCCATTATTAATGTCATCAGTGGAGGAGCATGTTTGTTGTAAGTGATGCACCTACATCAGGGTTTGCTCTTGGTGCTGTACGCTTCGTGGATTTGTACAAATTTATGATGCCCGTGTATCCCCATAACAGTCTCTTACAGGACAGTTTGTCACCCAAAACAGCTGTGCCAACTGCTCCTCCGTTTCCTCACCAAACCTGACAACCACTGATCTTTTTATCATCTTCATAGTTTTTCCTTTTCTAGACTGTCATATAATTAGAGACATATGTATGTATGTATGTGTGTGTATATGTATGTATGTAGCCATTTCAGATTGGCTGCTTCCAATTTAGTAATTCACATGTATGGTTTCTTCACATGTTTATGGGTACACAGCTTATTTCTTTGCTGCTGCCAAAAAATACTCCATTGTCTAGATACGCCCAGTTTTTCTAGCTTCTTGTTTGCCCAAGGATATCTTGATTGCTTCCAATTTGGGCAATTATGAGTCGACCTGCCATAAATACTGTGCGGGTTCCTGTGAAGGTATAAGCTTTCAGATTAATGTGTCATGTGATGAGGATATGTTTTGTTATAAGTAATGCTAAACTTCTTTTCAAATGAATATACCATTTATATTCTCATGACCCATGAATGGGCGTTCCTGTTGATTTACATCCTCACCAGCGTCTGGAGGTGTCTTTTATGTTGACTATGCTTGTAGGTATGTAGTAGATTCTTTCCAATACTCATTAAAAACTTTAAATTTTATTTCATTCTATGTCTATGGAACTTTTGCCTGCATGTACAACTGTGTGTCACTTGTATGCCTAGTACATGTGGAGGTTGGAAGAGGGCAGAAGAGCCTCTGGAAGTGTTGGGAGTCGATAATGTGGGTGCTGAGAACTGAACCTCAGTCCTGTAAGGTCAGTGCTCTTAGCCATTGAGCCATCATCTCTCCAGCCCCTCTTTTAAGTGCATATTTAAATTGTAGACTTGCGATTGTTTTAGAATTATGTACATCCTAGCCATGGTTTCTATTTATTCAGTGGCATTGAATTTATATATGTTGTTTGGGAGCTAATAGCCACAATTTTTACAACTTGCAAAACAGAAACTGCCCATTAAAAAATTTCCTGAGAGTTTGGGCCTACTTTCCAGCGTTCCACTGTCTTTGATCTCTGGCTCCCCCAAGTGATAGTTGTTGGGACTGCCACTCACGAGACTGCCATCTTGTATTCGGCACTCTTGGGAGGAGCTGTGTGAGCTGGAAGTTCCTCCTCTTAATGGACCTGTGCTGGCTGGCTGCAACAGCTCCATAATTGGTTTATAAAATTCTCATGAAAGGGTTTGGGTCTCACAGGCCTCACTGTGAAGCCTATTGGGCTCAGGTGTAGACTCAATTCACCTTAATTATCAGTGCAATACTTTTTAAGTCCAGTCTCATGACAATGTCCAAAGGGCCCACCAGTACATTGTGCCTTTCACCCCATGATAGAGGTCCCAGATTATGGGCAGTTTGAATTTTTCTAAAATAATAGATCTACATTGGCCACCAATAGATTGTCATGTGCAAGCAGTGCAGAACTGCAGCTCAGAGCAAGCAGTATTGCAGTATAGTGTGACACCACATTTACTTGACATTTTTTTCTGCTCTTGTAGCATGAAAACTCCCACCTCTGGATCCTGGGGAGGACTAATGACAGCAATACCTGACACATAATCCTTGGAAGGCACAAGCCTCCTTTAATTTTAATTTAAGGTATGTTGAGAATATAAGTACCACTAGGACAAAGTGGGGGAGTTGGTAATAGAAGGCAGCAGAGGTAATGGTGCCACAAACATTCTCCAATAGAGAGGGATGACAGGACCCGAGGACAGTCTCCACTTTCCAAGAGCAGAAGTATAGGAGGACAAAGACTAAGACGTAGGGGCAAACTGCTCTTGTGCAAACTGATTTGCGATCCAGTCAGAGGCAGCAGACATGATGAAGGCTTGAGTCATTGATCGCATCAAAGGATTTGTTTGGGTATTGATGGTAGTGGAGAGATGTCAGGGTCTAGAATGGGTTTTCAGTCAGGAAACAGTGGAAAGAGGTGCTGGGACTGGTTAAGTTTCTTCTTAATGTTATGTAGGTCTTGTACCTCAAGAAACTGAGGACAGGTGTACTGGTTCTGGCAAGGTCACTGCTGGTAATCACATCTAATACCAGCCTTTTTCTGAGCTTAGATAATAGAATTTCCAGCGGCATGGCAACATATCTCAGGCTGGGGAAGCAACTCAGTGATTGAGCATTGCTTTGAATGTCTGAGACCCTGGGTTCAGTAACAACGCATAGCAAACCTCATGTGGCGGGTCTGGTCCTTATATCTGTTGGGGTTCTTGGTAAGTGCTCCCATATTCTGCAGCACTGCTTCAGAGAGGTGACTATTCTACAGCTAGCCTGGATGCCATTGGTTGTGATCAGCAGATTGGAAATCACGCAGGAGGTGCTGGTAAAATGTAGAGAGAACTTCCTAGACCACCCACTGGTTCCCATCCAGAGACAAAGGGCTGGGGGGAGGGCGCAGCGGCTAGCAAAGATGGCACAGAAGGGTCAGTGACCAGAACAGAGGCTAATGGGGATGGTGATGTAGTCAAGTGATACAATAAAAGCTACTGGATTCTATAGTGGAGTCTAAAAAAGAGAAATGGTATGTGGAAGGGATGGAGGAGGGGCTCAGGGTGGGGCTGGCTGCTGAGCCCAGAGGTGGAGAGCGATGTTGGGAATAGGATGCACCACCAGGGATACTTGCTTACATGCACATTACATGTGGTACCCTGTTTGTCTTAGGGGTTCTATTGCTATAAAAAGATGCCATGACCATTGCAACTCTTAAAAGGAATATGTTTAATTTGGACTGGCTTATAGTTCAGGTATTCAGTCCATTAAAGTGTGGCAGCATGCTCACAGACATGGTATTGGAGAGATAGCCGAGAGCTCTACATCTGGATCCACAGGCAGCAGCAGGAAGAGAGTGAGACACACTGGGCCTATCTCGAATATCTGAAACTTGAAAGCAGCACCTCAGTGGCACACACTTCCTCCAAGACCACACCTAATGCCACACCTCATGGGTATATGGGGTGGGATTTTCTTTCAAACTATTGCATATCCCATGAACTGGAAGTGACAGGAGCAGCTGTTGACACAGGTATTCTGTGTTAACCCTGCACAGCTTCAGCCTTCACAAGAAATCGTTGGAGCAGTTAATGACTGAGAATGCTCACTGCAGTACTAGTTGACAGGCCAATGGTGATGGACTAAAGGACATAAGGAAGGGAGGGAGGGGCACCAGAGTGTGGGATAAGGTCAACTTAACCCACGTCCTCACTTCCAGGACTCCCATTCAGCCCTAACACAATCCTAGGTCAATCTGCAATGTGGTTTGTTGTTTAGAGTGTACCCACACGTTTGTTTTGGGTGCTGGATCTGCTAGAAGGAAACATGGAGGTTTGTCTTCATTCAGAAGGTACCACCGTGCTCACAGAAGTCTTTTGTAGAGCCAGCTTCATGCACTAGAGCCTCTCCAGAAGAGGTTTTATGCAGAAAGGATCCTGTGGAGCTGCACAGGCAATAGGAACGAGAGGGACAGCCCAAGTCTAAGACTCCAAAGAAGTTGAGGGTTTGTACTCCCATGTGATGGCCACACCAGCCTTTGAGATTTGCAAGCTAGAATAAGTTCTCTTGATAATCCAAGACTATGAGGGACTTTAAAGGCTAGAACTGGAGATGAGACCAGTGATGAGTTGAGGAAGACAGCTAGGTTAATCCTGGGCTAAACTGGGAACTGAGACAGGTCTTGGTGAACAGTGAACACAGGAGCACCCACACCCTTTCTGAGTGTCACGGGTGCTGAATACATTCCTGGTGCTTCTGCACATCCCAGGACTGCCTGGCAAAGTCTGCCCTAGGCAGAAGGCAACTCTGCTGGGTGAGGTAACGGCAGGGTATAAGATGGCCTGATATCCTAAATAGCATCCTCAAGACCTTATTGATGCTTTGCTGGCTGAGATGGAAAAAGTGAGAGACTGCACATCAGTGTCTGGTGGATTGTATGTTTTTAAAGCCAGTAACCTGGTACCTGGGCTGCCTGAAAA